CACAAATTTTTGTGCACCGGGCCTCTAGTTTTACATATTCTCCTTTAACAAACCAAAGTTTCACTAACAGTTCTGTGATAAATACACTTACAGCTATAACCAGTCTTTCACCTGTAATTAGTAATAAATGTGTTCTCTTAAGTAAAGGCATTCTGAATTGATGCTTTTCAATTTTCCTCTCCTTTACCAGAAAATGCAAGGTAACAGAACCTCCTGGGTTGGCAGGACAGAATGATCACCAGGGCCTCCATCTTTGTTCCACAAGTCAGTTTAGTTCATACAGAAAGACGAAACTTGAAAGAGACCGAGTTTCTACCCATAAAAGCACTTCTCTGGCACATTCTCTTTCCAAAGCCAATTTGCTGCAGAAACCAAAATAGGAGTGCAAATGGGGTAATGAAGATGGTCAGCGAATGTGGAGCAAAGGAAAAAAAGTAGAGGAATACTCTTAAGGATGCTTCATGCTAACTAGGTCAGAATTTGGAAAATTGCCCCTTTAGTGTAGGTAAAGAATCCTTAAGGTCACTCTCCTCTCTGGTTTCCAAGCCTTTCCAAACAAAAGCCAAATTGTAATGCAACTTGAACCAGTCAGATTGTGATTAGACTCTAAGGGTTTAGATAAAAAGCTGATCAAAACATCTGGCCTGTGCACAGCTGGTGTGGATGAGTGTCTGCCCATGCACCAAGAGTCAGGGCATGTGCCTGGGTTGCCAGCTCAATCCCCAGTATATGCATGCAGGAGGCACTGACCAATGTTTCTCTGTCATCAATGTTTCTCTTTCCCTTCTTCCTCTCTCTAAAAATCAATAAATACATTTTAGAAAACTATCTAGCTTGTAATAAAGAAGTTTTATGCTTATGCTATTTGAAGTGTAACCCATGTTTTTATTAAGTATTAATGATTAATTTTGCCTGCAGAGCTCAAGTCCTGGTCCTTCTGATGTGTCAATACAAGCAAGTCTAAAGGAGCCATTTTTGCAACAGGCTCAGATTACATTTTTTAGCAGTTTTTTCAATTACAGTTTACATTCAATATTATTTTGTATTAGTTCCAGGTTTACAAAGTGGTACCCTGATATTTCAAGTACTCACCTGGTACCATAGTTACTACATTATTGACTATGTTCCCTATGCTGTACTTTACATCTCCATGACTATTTTGTGACTATCAATTTGTACTTAATCCCTCACCTTTCTCACCCAGCCCCCCAAAGCTATAAATTATTTTTAATTAAGGCATGTACAGTGGTGTTCTTGGGGTTTTTTAGACAATGGTACTTACTGCACACTTAATACACAGTATTGTGTAAACATAACAACTATATGCACTGGGAAACCAAATATTCATGTGATTTGCTTTACTGCGGTTGTGTGGAACCAAACCGCTGTCTGAGGTACGCCTGTACTTATGTGGTGCAAGTCCTATAAAGCGATCACCCTCTGTAAGATTAATCTTCAACTTCGACTTCGATGACCCTTCTGCCCCCAGCACTTGGCCACCAACAAGTCAGACTTCACCCAATAGGTTCTCCATGGAAGAATGGGAAAGCCTAGCAGCCTTTCTCTTGGGTATCTTAGACCAGCCATGATGCCGCCATTGCTCTTGCAGGAAGTAATTACTGCAAAGTTCTGGTCTTCTGGCTTGTGATTGAGCAGAGGATCCTGGCTGGGAAGACAATCCTACCCCTCTCAGCCATCAGCCTGCCCCATCCTCAGCCCAGAAGCAAAGTTGTGATCTTATTTCTCCTCTGTGGCTAAATATCCTTCCTTTTTGCGGATCAAGAGGCATCACAAGTTTGCTAGTGCTCAACATATTCCTTGAGCCCAACTCTATGTATTCATCTAAAAGGGAGTAAGGGGAGAAATCAAGCTCCATTTTAAAGGTTAGATTAGTAAGACTAATACATACTTCTACACTCTAGTTTATAACCTCTGAACACTTAATGCTTCAGCTGCCTCAACAATCTAGTTGAAGACAGACAATTCTTGTTTTAAGACACCATTAATAGCCATTTTGTAATTTTTCTATGGGTGCCCTAGCTCATTTTAAAGCATTAAAGTGGTTTACCAGTAGTACATATAATAGAAATCTCAAGACAGGGCCAAAAAAAAAAAAAAAAGTTAACCAATAGAAAATGGAGTATTTGGCTTGGAGCACAAGTCTCATTATCCATGGGAGTAAGAAGAGCATTATCAAGTTTTTGGCTGTTTTATCTAATTTTGGGCACATGGGGATGTCCTCAACAAGATTCTAAGTGCACAGAGCAACTGATTTCATAAAACTGTTTTCCCCAATAAAAGATGAAAACATTTGTTTCTGCCCTGGTGCTTTAGCTTGGATGAGTTTCTTTGTGAACCCTACCTAAACTATAGAAATCCTGACTATATATTTCAGCTGGACTTTGAAGGATGGGGAGACTGCCAGATAAAGAAAAAGGTTCTTTAGCCCTAACCAGTTTGGCTCAGTGGATAGAGCGTCTGCCTGCGGACTGAAGGGTCCCAGGTTTGATTCCAGTCAAGGGCATATACCTTGCTTGCGGGCACATCCCCAGTGGAGGGTGCAGGAGGCAGCTGATCGATGTTTCTAACTCTCTATCCCTCTCCCTTCCTCTCTGTAAAAAATCAATAAAACATATTTTTTAAAAAAATAATAATTTAAAAAAAGGTTCTTTAAGGGGAAGCAGGAGCTAACAGGTTAAGTCAGAGACAGGTGTGACTTTATTTACAATGGAACAGTGTGGATAGAGTAGCGACTCGGCATGAAAATCACTTGGGAAGCTGTTGTAGTTATCTGGATTACAACATGTCAGGTAAGATTAAGGAAGAGTTGAGGGTGGCCAAGGCCTCTGGCTTGGGAAATTAGAAGTAACACATATTGGATGTAAGCACTTGGTGCAAAGACTATGTGTACACTATGTTCAACAGCTCTTTCCTCGAACTAAAAACGTTTTTAAGGGGAAGATAACCTTTCCTTTGAGACATACAAAATTTGAGGTGCAAGTGGATGTTTACAGAGCCATCTCGAGTGGAAGCTACAGAACAATGTCCCACGAAGGCTGTAGAGCAGTGGTTCTCAACCTTCTGGCCCTTTAAATACAGTTCCTCATGTTGTGACCCAACCATAAAATTATTTTCGTTGCTACTTCATAACCGTAATGTTTCTAGTTATGAATTGTAATGTAAATATCTGATATGCAGGATGGTCTTAGGCGACCCCTGTGAAAGGGTCGTTCGACCCCCAAAGGGGTTGTGACCCACAGGTTGAGAACCACTGCTGTAGAGAAACAGAACAGCCTGAACTCTGAACTATTACAATGGGAAAGGACAGGGGAATGAAGATGAATGTAGCAGAGACCAGTGTGAAGAAAAAATTTAAAATGCTGATAAAGAGATCAAAAGGAAAAGGCTGTTTACTATCTATTGCATTTTGACCATGAAGGTCTTGGTGACCATATTTTGGCAGAGGACAAAAGCCAAATTAAAAGTGAGAGGAAGACTATATAGCAGACTGATTTTTAAATATAATTTATTAACTTCAGAGAGGAAGAGTAGAAACATCAATGATGAAAATTATTGATTGGCTGCCTTCTGCAGGCCCCACTGGGAATTGAGCCCAAAACCCAGGCATGTGCCCTAATCAGAAATCAAACCGACCTCCTGGTTCATATGTAGACACTCCACCACTGAGCCAAGCTGACTGGGCTCATGCAGACTGACTTTGAGGCATAAACACAGCAAGTAGCACTTAGGGAGTCAAAGGTGGAAAATTCCTTTGACATGCCAAAAATGTGTAACTGAAAATCATTTGGAAGAGTACTTACTACTCAGCCTCTTGTCCCAATCTCAAAAAGGAGCAAGTGAAAAAAATGGAAATACACTCTAAGTACCAATAAACCTAATTTTCCCTACCCAGCCTAAATTATGTCCTATAAAAGGTAAAAACTGTTTTAAAACGCAAATGGTTCTTTTGTTACTAAATCAACATCTGTCCCAGATATAGACTCAAATGTTTGAACAGATTAAGGAAACTAGAATTTATCATTTTCCTTAAACATTTAATGGTAGCAGCTAAACCCAACTATGCCACCTAAAGGACCTATCCTTGTTTTAGAAACATTAGCTCTAGAGCTTACACCTGAGGCCTCCCAACAGTGGGTATTATGCAAGGACAATCAGCCGTTAGTGATATTACAGGTCACTATGTATTCAAAAGTCAGATTTTGGAAAAGGGTTTTAAACCTGTAAATTCCCAAGATGCACATTCAAAACCTAGGCTGGCTCAAGTTCAGCTTCACAATGTGCCGTCTAGCAAGATTAGCCAACCAGGGGGAAATCAAATACTAGTGACTTACCAGAAATTCCAATTAACCAGATGTCCATTAGTCTTACTTGGTTCAACAGTTTACTCATAGCAACCCACCCAACTCAATTTTGAAATATATAGGTCATCACTTACACAATTCTTAGGGACTGGAGTCCATTGAAGCATTATTAAGTCAATGAAAACAATGGACAACCTCACTTTTCCTCACGGGAATGTCCATAAGCACCTCTGGACACAATATACTTCCTGGTGTCCCATGGCCTAAATACAACCCTGCCCACCTTTTGTCTCAGTACACTCACTGTCCAGCTGCAAGACTCTAATTCATTAACAATCACATTTGACTGGCTTCAGACCATTTCTCCAGGCTCTAGGCTGGCCAAATCAGTCATGATAAATCACACCCCCACCCCAAAGGTACCCTAGTGAGAATCAATACATCAATACAACAGTCTTTGCTTAGACTGTTTCCCTTCAACTGCCAACCTTGAAGTTACTTACTGGTTAGGAAAGTAGGCTTTCATTTAGAAACCCGAGGAAACAAATAGCAAGCTTCCAGTTATTTTGCAACAATTACCTTTATCTTTTGTCCTTCACTAACAGGGACCTATTTTACTGCCTGCCCTCCCCGCTCCACACACACACACACACAAACCAGACATGATAAACAAAAGCCAAGTTTATTTGTTCATTTCTTGCATTTGAAGTATTCCTCGATGACATCCTTTGCCTGAGACTCTTTGCCATAGTCCTAAAAAAGTCATAGGGATTTTCATTTTAGTAACACTTAGAAATTCCAGCAAGCCATCAGTACTAGTTATAGTAAAGCTTTAAAATTAGCTCGTGTCTCATGAAAATTGTTTATTAAAACTTCTTATAGCCATTTTCAGGGACCTTAACGACTTCAATGTCTTTAAGGCTCGTAACATGGCTTTACTATTGCCAGCTTTCTCTAAATTTCTGCAGAACACATTCAGGTAAGCAGACTTATTGGCTGGCTTGCATTATGGACTATTTTTATTTTTTTTTGTAAAAGGCAGAAAACATACTGTTAACCCAGCACAACCTTCATCCCACAGATAGATACAGACTTACCTTAACCACCACGCAACTGCAACCAACCACTTTACGGGGTTTTCCCTCTCTGTCGATTTTACAGAGGCCTACCCATTCCCCAAGTTTCTTGTTGTCGTCAACCTATTAGGGGGGAATTTTAAACATCACAGTATTAGTGGGCATTAATGCTGCTGTACCGACAATAAATCAAACCCAGAAGGTACTGTAGTCAGATAGGGTGACAGGCAGTTTCCTCACACCAATTCAGTAGAGGGAGCCAGTTGTCATCATGTACAGCACCAAGATCATTACAGGCATTGGTTTGTTCCATACCAACATCAAAATTAGCATTTAGTACTGCAGGAAGAATAGTTGCTTCTATAACCACCTTTGACATAGCCAACATCAAGTGTATGGGATGATTTTCATATCTGTAGGAAGCATTAAGCTGGACACCACAAAATTTGCTGTGGTGTGACAAAAACCACTACAGATAGCATTATTCCTAACATGTTGGTCCAGCTTTCTTTGAGCAAAAGTATCTCTTAACAGTTGAGGTAAATCAAATTAGATAGGTAACGCACCTTAATTAAGTTGATTTGGTGTTCAGCACAAAGAGCCTCCACCAACTTGACGTACATAGGCTCATCACAGTTGGATGCAAGTACACAAAGGTGGGCTTGGCGCCTGAAATGCAAAATAAAACAATTAAAGCTAAAATTCAGATCTACATCCACTACAATTGCACTTTATAAAGGAGTTGTCTGCACTGGCTACAATGGCAAAACAAAAGCAGCACATGCATTGGTGATAACTGCTTTAGTTTGATGAGCCTTTATAGGTTACACATATTCATTCAATTCACCTACAGAAACCTCAAGTGTTCAGAAACCCGGAAGACGAACAAATTTAAGCAGGGGAACTGTTTACTAATCTGTGGTGAAAACGGAAGCATACAGACATATGCAAAGATGCTCAAAGTCAGTAATCATCAGAGATGCAAATGAAAACCACAATGAGGTTATCACCTTACACCTGTCAGAATGGCTATCAGCAAACAGACAAGCAAGTGCTGGCAAGGATGTGGAGAAATGGGAACGTTCCTGCACTTTTGGTGGGAATGCAGACTGGTGTAGGAACTGTGGAAAACAGTATGGAGGTACCTCAAAAAATTAAAAATGGAACCTTATGACCCAAGTTTTCCACTTCTGGGGATATATCTGAAAAAATCAAAACACGTAATTCCAAAGAATGTATGCACCCCTATGTTCATTGTGAATTATTCACAATAGCCAAGATTTGGAAGCAGCCCAGGTGCCCATCAGTAGATTGAGTTAATAAAAAAGCTGAGATACATTTACACAATACTACTTGGCCATAAAGGGGGAAATCTTACCCATCAAGACTGTATAAGCCAGTCAAAGACAAATGCCATACATATGTGAAATCTAATGAATAATAGACTAACAAAGAAGAAACCAGCATGGATACATGAAACTGACAGGAGAGAGGGGGCTGGGGGAGCAAAAATGAAGGGATTAAGCAAAAACAAACAAAAAAATCCAGAAAACAGTACGGTGATTACCAGAGGGAAGGAGGGAGGTAGAAAAGTGTAAAGGGGGGATAAATGGTGATGGAAGGAGACTTGGGGGGGTGGGGGTAACAATGGGACACAATACATACAATACACAAAGGCTGTATAGTGCTGTACACCTGAAATCTATGACTTTAACCAATGTTATCCCAGTAAATTCAATAAAATTAAACAACAGATACACAAAGACTGCTACATGCAACAAACTACTAGATCAGAGCTGTTGCCTGCTGTTACTGGCCCAGAATCCTGCAGCTCCGCCAAGACACAAACAGTGCAGGGGGATTCACACCAAGACCAGAGGAGTTCTTCCAACAAGTGTTTCCACCTGTTATTTGACAGATTTAAATATACCTGTCTCAGACCCGATATTTTCCAATAGTTAACACATGCAGTTTTTGCCAGTGTAACCAGCCCTGAAACTAAACTGAATATATATGAACAATTCTATATTCACGTTTCTGAAGCAGCTACTTCACTTACTACATTCATGTACAAGTGCAGACGCTTCTGCAACAAATTTGCCATCTCACGAAGGTGGGTTGGTTTAACTTTGCAAGAAACCAAGTGAAAGTTTCTGTCTGCCCTGTAACGTGAAATTAGCCCCACAACTACAGGTTTGTCAGACTGTTACGTTTCACTCATGAAAGGAGTGAAGGGGTATCCGACAATTTAAGTCATCATTCAAAACTGTAGTTTCACTTTACGAACCAAGTGTTCATCCCACTCCAAACAGAAACCCAGACTAAGTGGGCCATGTAAGCATGAGTTTGGTACCTTTTCCTAGGTTTCCTGTGGAACGGATGCCATTCAGAACTTTTGTGCTAACACCGTGAACTCCACGCTTTCTTCCCTCGGCTGCAGTTTTGTTCCAGTTCCAACCCACAGTTATTGAGACTGAGACACGTACTTGTCTAAGGCTTTGGCAGCTTCGCGAATTCCGCGCGCGAGGCCATCGTGGATGAGGGCGGTCTTCAGCACCTCTTGCAAAGCAGTATTAACGTCCATTACACCTCCAGCAGCAATGCTGCAATGCAACAAACCAAGACGGTCAGTCAATTCCCCGCACACCGCCTAACGCCTGGGACTCAGCAGTCATCGGCCAGGCACGCTTAAGGCGCCAGGACGGACCCAGAGCCCGCGCCCTGCGCCTTCCCGCACCACCTTCCCGGCCCGGGCTCACCCTTCCTCGGCCATGGCGGTGGGTTATGGGTGGAGCCGAATCTTGAACGCACTGTAACACAAGACAGAAAAAGAAAAGGACATCGGTTAACTAAAGGATTAAGTTTGGGCCCTGCTACTTCTCGCCAAACCCAGCAAAAAAAAAAAAAAAAAAGATGCCTAATCGTGCACCATAACCACCACCCTCGCCTCGTTCAACTCACCCCAAGCCTCCGCCTCCGCGCAACTCCGCGGCGGCAGGGAAAGAGACCGTGTGCGCCCGCTTGACGGTATTTAAGGGCTGCCCAGGACCCCTGTGCGCATGCGCACTGCGGTCTTTGAAAGAGGTGACTCTGGTGGTGCCGGGCCTCGAGAATTTCTGTTTCCGGATTGATGAGATCTGAGACTAGGACGCTGCTGCTCTGCCCATCACTGGGACGCGAGACAGGCAGCAACGCGGGCAGCCTCACATCGATCTTCCCCCGCCGGGGCGGGGCCTGCGGAGGCCCAGTGGCACATTCTACGGAGCGCGAGGACGGCCAGGCGCGCATGTGGGCTCGACCTTGTGAGACCAAGACTCCGGGTTCCCTGGCTCGCTCAGAACTTTTAACCCTTACCTCGTCGTATGTGACTCCTGCCCGCCCGCGCAGCTGTGCCTTCCTTAGTGGGAACGCTCTCGGTTCGCCCGACAGTCCCTCTGAACGTCCGTGAGCGTGCCGTCCCGTGGGCGATCGCCACCCGTGTGCGTGCGTGTGCGTGACACGAGCCAACACGTTTTCGCGACTTCTAAGCACATGGCCGATTGCACGCTCCCCGCGATCGTTAGTGAAGTGTAACCTTCCGCCAGGAGGCCGCTTCTGGCGGAAGGTTACACGGGAGGCTGAGAGAAAAGGAAGGCTTTCTCAGTGTAGCTGGTCCTACATGAAGTTCTTTTATTTACTTTTTTAACGCTGAATTGTCCCCTGAACCCGTTGTCCCGCGCAAATAGGGATTGAGTAGGTGCCTTGCAAACACCTCCAATGTGGCAGCCGGGGACAGGGCCTGTAATGGCGCGGGAAGCGCAGCCTGAGAGCCCGGCGTCCGTTTCCCGGCCGGACCGGCGCCGTCGGGAGTGGAGTCCCAGGTTTTTCAACTCCGACTTTCCCCGGAGGCAGCAGTTGGAATTTTGCAAAGACAGGCCGTTCTCCCACCCACATGTTCAATGCAAATACCTGAAATACAGGCTAATTTAATCAGTACAGTCTTTATTTTTTTTTCCTTTTGTTTTAACGTCCTCTCCTGACACGTCGCCCAGCCAGTCAGCAACTGTTCCGCGTCCAGTAGGTGCCAGCACCGCTGACACTGAGCAGCGGACAGTTCCCGTCAGGCCGAGTGCCCGGCAGGAACAGTGGTAACAGGATAAGAGTGCCAGGTCGAGTTAACCAGAATAGAAAATTTTAATAAGTTGTTATAACTCATTTTTAGCTTTTTAAAAGCTTTCAGATGTTCATTTTGCAAAGTGTCGCCCAGCCGGCGTGGCCTGGGTTGTGGGCTCGATCCCCAGTAGGGGGCGTGCAGGAGGCAGCCGGTCAGGGGTTCTCGTGTCTCCCTATTGCAAGTGTTGGATCTGCTCTGGCCGGTGGCTCAGTGGTTAGAGCCTCTGCCTGCGGGCGGAAGGGCGGCGTTTGATTCCAGTCAAGGGCTCTGACCTTGGTTTCAGGCTCAGCCTTGATCCTGGCGGGTCCGGGGCTCATGCTGGAGGCAGTCAGTCCATGTGTCTCTTTCCCATTCATGTTTCTCTCTGTCTGACTCTTCCCCCTCCCTTCCATTCTCTCTAAAAAAAAAAAAAAAAATCGATGGAAAAAATATCCTAGGGTGAGGATTAACAACAACAAAAAAAGTATTGCATCTGCTTCCCATTCATAACTCATCCTAAAAAGGTGTCCACATAATTCGTTGTTCAATAGTTCATTTTTTTTTAAAGCTGCAGCGTTTATACAAATGATAAGATTTCTGCCACTGTCATGCTTGGGGTAGGATTAAGATTTGAGCCAAATATTAGTCTATCTAAAGGCCACAGGGGAGGCACAAAGTAGCATGGGGGTTGGGGAGAGGGGCTGATGGGGAAAGGTAAGAGAAAGAAAGACTTTTGACTTGCGGCAACATTTGAAAATAGGCTCAAAAAACAGAAACCTGAGAGGATCCCCACGGGAGGATGAGAGAAAAGGACGGTATTCCAAGTGGAGGAAGGACAGGGCAGAAGCACTGACGCCTCCTTGGCTTGTTTGTAAGTTATCCGAACACATTTGTGTTTTTGAAAGTGAATGTGGTAAGTAGTATGCCAACAAGTTTTCCATTATCTGAAGTTCATACAAGTGAATATGCTAAACATATTAGTAGACTTCTCCCCCGCATCACCACCCTGCCCCTGAAAAATATTATGGAGGAGGCGGGGAATTTGGTAAAGACTCGGGAAACATAAATGAGGAAAGCAGTCATTGCCAAAGAACATATTTATATAGGGGGGAAATAGTTAAGTACCTTTCAGCTCATTCTGTGGTTGGGTTCTATCTTCTGGCAGCTCGTAATCTATTGAGACTCAGGTATCATAGGCCTATGCCTTGACATTTCACCTTATAAATATCTTTTTTAAAAATATATTTTTATTGATTTCAGAGAGGAGGGGAGAGGGAGAGAGAGCTAGAAACATCAATGATGAGAGATAATCACTGATTGGCTGCCTCCTGCATGCCCTCCACTGGGGATCGAGCCCGCAACCTGGGCATGTGCCCTTGACCGGAATCGAACCTGGGACCCTTCAGTCCAGGCTGACACTCTATCCACCAAGCCAAACCGGCTAGGGCATAAATATCTTTTCTATCAGTTGTAAACCTCCCTTCTTAGAACTGGAGCTACTCTTTCTTTCTTTCTTTCTTTCTTTCTTTCTTTCTTTCTTTCTTTCTTTCTTTCTCTCTCTCTTTCTTTCTTTCTTTCTTTCTTTCTTTCTTTCTTTCTTTCTTTCTTTCTTTCTCTCTCTCTTTCTTTCTTTCTTTCTTTCTTTCTTTCTTTCTTTCTTTCTTTCTTTCTTTCTCTCTCTCTTTCTTTCTTTCTTTCTTTCTTTCTTTCTTTCTTTCTTTCTTTCTTTCTTTCTCTCTCTCTTTCTTTCTTTCTTTCTTTCTTTCTTTCTTTCTTTCTTTCTTTCTTTCTTTCTCTCTCTCTTTCTTTCTTTCTTTCTTTCTTTCTTTCTTTCTTTCTTTCTTTCTTTCTTTCTCTCTCTCTTTCTTTCTTTCTTTCTTTCTTTCTTTCTTTCTTTCTTTCTTTCTTTCTTTCTCTCTCTCTTTCTTTCTTTCTTTCTTTCTTTCTTTCTTTCTTTCTTTCTTTCTTTCTTTCTCTCTCTCTTTCTTTCTTTCTTTCTTTCTTTCTTTCTTTCTTTCTTTCTTTCTTTCTTTCTCTCTCTCTTTCTTTCTTTCTTTCTTTCTTTCTTTCTTTCTTTCTTTCTTTCTTTCTTTCTCTCTCTCTTTCTTTCTTTCTTTCTTTCTTTCTTTCTTTCTCTCTCTCTCCCTTTCTCTCTCTCTCTCTCTCTCTCTCTCTCTCTCTCTCTCTTTCTTTTTTTAAATCCTAGTTATAAAATGGGTTCTATTCCCACAAATGAAGTTAAAGGGCACTCTGGTGGTTTGAGAGTTCTTCAATATAGATTCTCCTAGTTCATGTTTAAGGTTACCTCTTCTCAATTTTAGATATAGCCAAAGGTGGAACACTACTAAATAGAAACTAATGGCTAGAGACAGTCTTATACCAGCAGATTATAATACCTACATAATGTGCACAAGTGTGCATCTGAAATACATATGAAAAAATAAATTCTAAAGTTTGTTTTAGGAACAATAAATCATAGTAAATAATGTTGTTTAGCAGTTTCTATGCACCAGTTAATGTGCTAAATTATTGTCATAGCTTTTCTTCCTTGGTCATCTTTGAGATCTTATGTGGTAGTGTTGGTATTAGTCCCCTTTAACAAGTAAAGAAACCAAGGCCTAGAGAGTTGCCCAAAGTCTCATAGGCAGTAAATGTGAAAGCTGGTATTTGAGCCCAGTGGCCATCAAAGATCATGCTTCTAACCCTTCATATATTTGGACTAGAGGCCCAGTGCAAGAAATTCGTGCAAGGGTAGCGTCTCTAGGCCTGGCCAGCGATCAGGGCCAATCGGGGCCTTCTGGCTGCTGGCTGGGGCCTTCCTTCATTCCACACCACCCCCTGGTGGTCAGCACACATTATAGCGAGCAATCACATTCCTGCTCTCCCTGTCGAACTCCCAAGGGACACTTTGCATATTAGCAAAGTGTGTGTGTGTGTGTGTGTGTGTGCGTGTGTGTGTGTGTACACACACACACGCACACACACACTGAGTCGCCAGATTATTATGACCACCCCATAAGTACTTCGTTGGGCCACCTTTTGCCTTCAATACTGTGGCAATTCTTCTTGGCATTGACTCCACGAGATGTTGAAAGGTGATGTGAGGAATCTGACACCATGCCTGATGAACAGCAGTGTCTAGTTCTGTGAGATTTGATGGTTGTGGAACCAGCTGCCTGATGGCTCTTTTAACTTCATCCCACAAATGCTCAATTGGATTGAGATCTGGTGATTGTGGGGGCCACCTAAGCAAGGTAAAGTCTCCCTCATGTTCTTGAAAGCACTCCTGCCCAATACGAGCACCATGGCATAGCGCATTGTCTTGTTGGAAGAAGCCATCTCCATTGGGATATGCCATCAACATCATAGGATGAACTTGATCAGCAACGATACTTAGGTATGTTGTGCTATTCAGACGTTTATAATGATCTGGCCTTCTAGCAACTTCAGCGCAAAATTATAGCTAATTTGCCTACAAACTTCAGGTGGTCATAGTAATTTGGCCACTCGGTGTGTGTGTGTGTGTGTGTGTGTGTGTGTGTGTGTA